CTCACGTAATAGTTCAGGTGCTATGTAGCATTCAGGTACATCTGGTCCGTTCATGGTCGGTAGTCCATCGCATTTCATTAGGATATTCTTAGCGATGTACAATGAGAATGCCTCATGTTGATCCATCGTCTCGCCAATGTCGTCCTGTGCTGACCACGTGACCCCAGGGTAGTYCTTCATGAGAGTAATCCATTCTGACTTACATTTGAAGTTAAGCATCACGCATGCTTCTCTGGAAGAGGAAAGTTTACAGTTTGCGACGTGTGTGTGTCAATTTGTTAACTTAACTATTTCATACTTCTTTAAACTTCGTATCAACGAATAACCAAATGTTATGTTGCAATCTCAAAGAAACCGAGCTTGCCAATTACTTTAAACCCTACTGTATGCTATTAATTGTTTCTCATCTACATAATACCATATATGGCTACTGGAGCGTTCATACCGCTGACGTTTAGTCGCGAAGACTCTGGGCTCGAGTTTGAACTTGCCAAGTTATTGACATTATTTATTTGTCCGTCAATACTTTGGCGCGCGCAAGAGATATTCTTCAAAGCGTCCACAGGCACATCTCGAATATCGTCCATTCGTACCAGTCTTCTTCTTCCTGACTTACTTGCAAATAGGCTGGGGCTGAGTGTAGTTTGACGTCATGTCACAGCGTGGGAAGTAGTGATGACAATACATGTCATGGACGATTTGAAAGCAACGGTTGCGTAGCAACACTGAAGGGTCCGGCATGTTCATGCTAACGAAGAATGCTCTCTTTATTCTAACGGTTCTCATTCGCTTTTCGTACTCTATCTGTTGTTTTCTGTTTGCGAAGATCCAGCCGTCRGCAGAAATAGAACTGTTACATATGCCGACWCTATGGTTGTAATAGCGATGACATCGGTGAGCTGMTGGGCCCGGTACTGGGACGCATTGGCTGTGAAAATGAGATAAATAATAGCAATGTTTCTCATAGCGTGTTTTTATATGCAACTTAGTTAAATTTAATGAAATTATTGAGATATATCATGCAATGTACGAGTATTTCATTATGTTATCATTATCAGTTGATTATTTTACCTTGCTGCTGATGTTTTATTCTTCAAAGTCGTTGKTGTTGGTCCTGTTGTAGCTTGTGTTGATGCGACAGTGGTCGCTGAAATGAATAGARAACTCACGTGAACCAGTAACCGTGAAATAGATATTATACTTATACACTTGTCTCTTCGTAAACACTAAGAGCGTGAAAAGATACTAGAGTGAGGTCCTCAAACCGGGGAAAAACAACTTGAATGTTTTAGTGCGAGATTAAGATAGACACAAAAGAAGACAATGCAATGAGAGCGTACTTAGGGGACCACCTAGCATAAAGACACGTGCATCGTGGATGTAAACTACAATACCTTCTGCAGAATACATGGAAAACCGTCCCACCCCCTTTTCCCACTGCAAGATTGCACGCACGCTCCTTTCCTCATCCTTGGCGATTTCGAGTACCAWTTCCTTGGCAAAAAAACATTGCAAAAAGGGTGGAGAGGTTGCAGTAACACAATCGTAGACCAGTAGACGGTGTGTGACACAATTTTGSAAAATGTTGTAGGATTATACTGAATTTATTGGATCCTCAATAGATGTTTTTCAATTTTTCCAATAACAATCAAAGGATTTCAAACGACGTGATGCTTTTGCCTTATTTCCATTATTAGAAACGCTAATTATTTTTATTCGGATGCGATTACAACACTATGTAACCCACTTGAAGCTGGGACCACCTCAAAGCTTAGTTTTGGCTGAAMGTTTGTAAACCTTTTGTCAGACTTTGACCTAAGACGTTACAGTACGTGTTCAAAGCGGTGGCCTATTTTTACATCGATAGAARTCTATTTTTCTGCTATGTTTATTGACATTCGAGCGGTTTAAGAATTTGATAGAATTTGATTCAATAATCATGAATTTTATACGTGGCTAAAAACTGCTACTGACTCAGGTCTGCCTATCAYAAGACAGATTTTCCCGTGCCCTCCTCTTACATAGGACGCCAGTTCTTCTCGGTCAAGATCCACACAGGGACACCAAGAAAACCAATGTCATTTTTTTAGGAGTAGACTGTGAAGTAAGCTAGTGCAAAACATCCTTTAAGTAGAAAATATCTCAAAAGTTAMACAGACCGACAAGAACCGGCCCTTTCATTAGACAGTTTCCACTTCGAAAAAAAGATGTTAAGAGCCACAGGGATTTTCTTTTTCTTTTTTTGAAACCATTYGGCGCAAACAAAATGCCAGAAATTCCTGGTATACTTAAGCAATAAAAAACTTCAAGCATACTTAGCCCACAGGCACAATAACGGACAAGATTGATAGATCTTAGGGACTTACGATAGCGTCAATCACCTTATTTGAACTATATGCAAACCGTCAATGTCAAGAAATGACAGATTACTGGGAATTAAAAAGGATAAAGAAGTTAAAGTCGATGGCCCTTTGAATGGCTACACATAAAGCTGACATAAACTCTCATCTTAACTTAAAGCTTCTGTCATAATGGATTTAAGATGATAAACGTAAAACAGATTGTCAAAAAATATGACAAAAAGGAGTTTTATAAATGGGTTGACAGCGAGGAAAAACAAATTACTAGATTTTTAATGTGTATTGATAGTTTTCAACCATTCCCATGAGATAAAAGACCGGCGGCCATGTTGGACGAATGAACAATAGATAMTAATGAGAAATCCTTTGTTAGAGTTCGTCCAAGATGGCCGCTGTGACGTATAGTGAAAACGAAGAATTTAATCATGCGATGGACGCTTGTTTGTTTGGTTGTTTAGTTTTTCTCATTTTTTATTTTCATTATTTTTTGTCTGTATTTTCTAATTTATCGTCTGTTGKTTCTTTTGTTTTAAGATTGAAAGGTAAATTTGTAAGTTTGTATGTTTGTTTGTTTGTTAAGTTTGAGAATTGACAATACATCTTGCGGAATCTGTGCAAAATATCTTGTAAAAATTCGCCTAAAAAMATTGGATCAAAAATGTCTCGGCAAGGTATAATGACTTCATTGGAATCCAATCTCTGACAAGGTTAGTTCGTCATTGGCCTTTTGTTGAGATACATATACCATTACCAGGATAGTTACCTTTGATCAGGCATATTCGTGGTTACCCCGGTTTGCTTCGCATTCCTGCCTTGATACCAGACAGGCCAATGCGAAGACGGCGGCCACGTTTCATGGTATCAAAYGTTAACATATATATGGTTTTTTAAGGCCAACTTTGCCAAATTGTTTAAATTTGAGTAAACCTATCTATGTGACTTTGTTAATCATTGAGCAACATTTTTTTAATATATCTTTTTTTTAGATTCTGATAAATACTTTCAAATATTTTGGCGTAGAATTAACCCTATTGTCTTTGGAGTGCCTTTTTTCCCGTTCTCCTGCACTGAGACCTTTCTATAGACAAACGAAAGCACAAAAGAATTGTTGTCATTACAATAGCCCTACAAATGTGCATTCTCTCTGATTTCAGGCTAAGCCTGTATTCTCAGAAGGCTTGTTTTTTTCAGGCAGTTGGCAGTTGTCCTTAAGTTTCCACAAATACAATTTGAATTGTGGTCAAAAAGGGTAAAGCTATTCGGTTAACTTCATGAGAAAAAAAATCCAAAATTTATTTTCTGGGTATTAGTCCGAGGCTATACATAATAGACTTTCTCTTTGATAAAAACAGATATTTGAGTCCCTTTTCTCTGCATTAGGATAACGAAGTGCTTAGATAGCAACGAGAAATCCTTCACTTTGTAAAAAAAAATCTCGATAAACAGCCGAAAAGTGATGCAACATTTTTTTCCATCTTTTTGTCCTCTTTTTCCGGGAACCTTTTTGAGAACGGTGTCTTTGATGATTCTAAGAAAACTATGTTTCTCATTCTAAAGAAACAATTATTAGGCCAGGATAGATGATAAGACTATGCAATGCTAAACGTAAGGACAGCACAACTAACATGACGGCCATCTKGGAAAAAGAACAATCCACGTGAATTAATYGATATAACATTAAGTCCCGCTAAAATTGACTTCATAGATCTGTATAATATAGTTTGAACAGCTGTTGAAAGTTGGAGTTTTATTGCGATGACCTATGCTTTGATGAGAGCGCCCAGCTAGACTAATTCACATTGATGACTTAAAGGCAAGCATTTCCCCACTGTTTTGGAGACCTTAAACTTTACAACT